ACAAATTCTCAGTTTCTGGCCCAGCGTGCTCTGCAAGCTTTGAATTACACAGTGAAAAGGCTCATTGTTTGGTGGCATGCGGCTCTACTCACCCTTCCACATTCCCGTTGCTTCTTTTCAAAGTGGGACTATTGTGAAGCTGGTAATGATGATGCAAATTCGGTCTTTTCATTTCTGGGCTACACACTAAGGCCAATCACCATATATACAAGAGCCAGGGTCTGCCTTCTTTCACCGTGTTCGCTCGAGCGTGGGCCGAGAATAATAGCTGAAAAGCGGGCTGAGGATCTCAATTTTTATGGCGGCTTTTACCGTCATCCGTCGCGAAGGGGTTAAGAAGGGTTTGCATTGCACAAACTTTTCTTTATGTTTATCAGAGCAATCAACCAATAACTGAACAGTCTCCTAGCCTAAGTGGTCAACCTTAAAAAGTACCATGACTACCACGAACCTAGCCCCACTAGTGTGGCACGGACTCTTGCTACCGCTCAATCGCTAGCCACACATGCGTATATGCAATTTGTGTGTCGGCGTAGTGAAAAAGTTCGGGGCACCCTCTTATAATCGGAGGCACAATTTTTTTTTTGCACACAGAGATGATCCTTAGCCTCTCCGCTTTCTTAGCGCCATTTATTGAATGATTTCACTCACGTTGTTCTGGTATTTTCCCGTCTTTTTGCCTTCACCCATTCAATCTCACGGGCTCGCTCTCACAGTCGCCATCTTTAAAATAAGGCCGTTGAACATTACATCCATGACATCACTTGACCCCTAATCTTCTCGACGGCTGTTCCATGTCAAGATATATCTAATACACGGACTGAGTGGTAACATACTACATGTATCAATGGGCTCTTCCAAAACTTGGGGAGAGGCTAAGAATCATCTCCGTATGCAAAAAAAATTGCACCTACAATTATCAGAGGGTGCGCCGAACTTTTTCACTATGCCGACACGCAAATTGCGTATACGGATGTGTGGCTAAGGATGGAGCGGTAGCGAGAGTCCGTGCCAGTGGGGCTACTGCGAACCCAACCATGCCAACACTCCCCACAATTCTTGGGCATGTCATGCATGTTGGGTAGGCAAAATCAATCAAATTAACCTGTTCATAGACTTGATTCCTATCATTGGAGTAAGAAACCACAAAGGTATGGGTTCATAAAAGCTTAGACTTATTCTATTCCAATCATAAGTTCAGCGTTATTAACATTAGGCCAGCCACACTGCAAAGCCAAAGGGGTCATTTGGTCTGATCCCAGGTCCCCCGTCATTCATTTCATGAATCGTGGGACTGGGAATTATACATGCATATAATGAGTTTTGCCCTTACCCAACGTATAACCTGTATAATAATAAGCACTGTATGCTCAGTGCTTGTCTGAGAGCTTGCAACCTCCTGCTTAAAAAAATGTTAAAAAAATACATCTTGAAAATAGTTCGCGGCACCCGCTGCTTCATT